TTCGTTAGCGTAGCCTCTGTCACAGCCCTAGGACATGCTCGTTCGTTAGCGTAGCCTCTGTCACAGCCCTAGGACATGCTCGTTCGTTAGCTTAGCCTCTGTCACAGCCCTAGGACATGCTCGTTCGTTAGCTTAGCCTCTGTCACAGCCCTAGGACATGCTCGTTCGTTAGCTTAGCCTCTGTCACAGCCCTGGGACATGCTCGTTCGTTAGCTTAGCCTCTGTCACAGCCCTAGGACATGCTCGTTCGTTAGCTTAGCCTCTGTCACAGCCCTGGGACATGCTCGTTCGTTAGCTTAGCCTCTGTCACAGCCCTAGGACATGCTCGTTCGTTAGCTTAGCCTCTGTCACAGCCCTAGGACATGCTCGTTCGTTAGCTTAGCCTCTGTCACAGCCCTAGGACATGCTCGTTCGTTAGCGTAGCCTCTGTCACAGCCCTGGGACATGCTCGTTCGTTAGCTTAGCCTCTGTCACAGCCCTAGGACATGCTCGTTCGTTAGCTTAGCCTCTGTCACAGCCCTAGGACATGCTCGCTCGTTAGCGTAGCCTCTGTCACAGCCCTAGGACATGCTCGTTCGTTAGCGTAGCCTCTGTCACAGCCCTAGGACATGCTCGTTCGTTAGCTTAGCCTCTGTCACAGCCCTAGGACATGCTCGTTCGTTAGCTTAGCCTCTGTCACAGCCCTAGGACATGCTCGTTCGTTAGCTTAGCCTCTGTCACAGCCCTAGGACATGCTCGTTCGTTAGCTTAGCCTCTGTCACAGCCCTAGGACATGCTCGTTCGTTAGCTTAGCCTCTGTCACAGCCCTAGGACATGCTCGTTCGTTAGCTTAGCCTCTGTCACAGCCCTAGGACATGCTCGTTCGTTAGCTTAGCCTCTGTCACAGCCCTAGGACATGCTCGTTCGTTAGCTTAGCCTCTGTCACAGCCCTAGGACATGCTCGTTCGTTAGCTTAGCCTCTGTCACAGCCCTAGGACATGCTCGTTCGTTAGCTTAGCCTCTGTCTAGTCTCGTCAAACTCGTTACACACAGGGTTGTGTCGTCAAACTCGTTACACACAGGGTTGTGTCGTCAAACTCGTTACACACAGGGTTGTGTCGTCAAACTCGTTACACACAGGGTTGTGTCGTCAAACTCGTTACACACAGGGTTGTGTCGTCAAACTCGTTACACACAGGGTTGTGTCGTCAAACTCGTTACACACAGGGTTGTGTCGTCAAACTCGTTACACACAGGGTTGTGTCGTCAAACTCGTTACACACAGGGTTGTGTCGTCAAACTCGTTACACACAGGGTTGTGTCGTCAAACTCGTTACACACAGGGTTGTGTCGTCAAACTCGTTACACACAGGGTTTGTGTCGTCAAACTCGTTACACACAGGGTTGTGTCGTCAAACTCGTTACACACAGGGTTGTGTCGTCAAACTCGTTACACACAGGGTTGTGTCGTCAAACTCGTTACACACAGGGTTGTGTCGTCAAACTCGTTACACACAGGGTTGTGTCGTCAAACTCGTTACACACAGGGTTGTGTCGTCAAACTCGTTACACACAGGGTTGTGTCGTCAAACTCGTTACACACAGGGTTGTGTCGTCAAACTCGTTACACACAGGGTTGTGTCGTCAAACTCGTTACACACAGGGTTGTGTCGTCAAACTCGTTACAACAGGTTGTGTCGTCAAACTCGTTACACACAGGGTTGTGTCGTCAAACTCGTTACACACAGGGTTGTGTCGTCAAACTCGTTACACACAGGGTTGTGTCGTCAAACTCGTTACACACAGGGTTGTGTCGTCAAACTCGTTACACACAGGGTTGTGTCGTCAAACTCGTTACACACAGGGTTGTGTCGTCAAACTCGTTACACACAGGGTTGTGTCGTCAAACTCGTTACACACAGGGTTGTGTCGTCAAACTCGTTACACACAGGGTTGTGTCGTCAAACTCGTTACACACAGGGTTGTGTCGTCAAACTCGTTACACACAGGGTTGTGTCGTCAAACTCGTTACACACAGGGTTGTGTCGTCAAACTCGTTACACACAGGGTTGTGTCGTCAAACTCGTTACACACAGGGTTGTGTCGTCAAACTCGTTACACACAGGGTTGTGTCGTCAAACTCGTTACACACAGGGTTGTGTCGTCAAACTCGTTACACACAGGGTTGTGTCGTCAAACTCGTTACACACAGGGTTGTGTCGTCAAACTCGTTACACACAGGGTTGTGTCGTCAAACTCGTTACACACAGGGTTGTGTCGTCAAACTCGTTACACACAGGGTTGTGTCGTCAAACTCGTTACACACAGGGTTGTGTCGTCAAACTCGTTACACACAGGGTTGTGTCGTCAAACTCGTTACACACAGGGTTGTGTCGTCAAACTCGTTACACACAGGGTTGTGTCGTCAAACTCGTTACACACAGGGTTGTGTCGTCAAACTCGTTACACACAGGGTTGTGTCGTCAAACTCGTTACACACAGGGTTGTGTCGTCAAACTCGTTACACACAGGGTTGTGTCGTCAAACTCGTTACACACAGGGTTGTGTCGTCAAACTCGTTACACACAGGGTGTGTGTCGTCAAACTCGTTACACACAGGGTTGTGTCGTCAAACTCGTTACACACAGGGTTGTGTCGTCAAACTCGTTACACACAGGGTTTGTGTCGTCAAACTCGTTACACACAGGGTTGTGTCGTCAAACTCGTTACACACAGGGTTGTGTCGTCAAACTCGTTACACACAGGGTTGTGTCGTCAAACTCGTTACACACAGGGTTGTGTCGTCAAACTCGTTACACACAGGGTTGTGTCGTCAAACTCGTTACACACAGGGTTGTGTCGTCAAACTCGTTACACACAGGGTTGTGTCGTCAAACTCGTTACACACAGGGTTGTGTCGTCAAACTCGTTACACACAGGGTTGTGTCGTCAAACTCGTTACACACAGGGTTGTGTCGTCAAACTCGTTACACACAGGGTTGTGTCGTCAAACTCGTTACACACAGGGTTGTGTCGTCAAACTCGTTACACACAGGGTTGTGTCGTCAAACTCGTTACACACAGGGTTGTGTCGTCAAACTCGTTACACACAGGGTTGTGTCGTCAAACTCGTTACACACAGGGTTGTGTCGTCAAACTCGTTACACACAGGGTTGTGTCGTCAAACTCGTTACACACAGGGTTGTGTCGTCAAACTCGTTACACACAGGGTTGTGTCGTCAAACTCGTTACACACAGGGTTGTGTCGTCAAACTCGTTACACACAGGGTTGTGTCGTCAAACTCGTTACACACAGGGTTGTGTCGTCAAACTCGTTACACACAGGGTTGTGTCGTCAAACTCGTTACACACAGGGTTGTGTCGTCAAACTCGTTACACACAGGGTTGTGTCGTCAAACTCGTTACACACAGGTTTGGGTTTGTGTCGTCAAACTCGTTACACACAGGGTTGTGTCGTCAAACTCGTTACACACAGGGTTGTGTCGTCAAACTCGTTACACACAGGGTTGTGTCGTCAAACTCGTTACACACAGGGTTGTGTCGTCAAACTCGTTACACACAGGGTTGTGTCGTCAAACTCGTTACACACAGGGTTGTGTCGTCAAACTCGTTACACACAGGGTTGTGTCGTCAAACTCGTTACACACAGGGTTGTGTCGTCAAACTCGTTACACACAGGGTTGTGTCGTCAAACTCGTTACACACAGGGTTGTGTCGTCAAACTCGTTCACACACAACACAGGGTTACACACAGGGTTGTGTCGTCAAACTCGTTACACACAGGGTTGTGTCGTCAAACTCGTTACACACAGGGTTGTGTCGTCAAACTCGTTACACACAGGGTTGTGTCGTCAAACTCGTTACACACAGGGTTGTGTCGTCAAACTCGTTACACACAGGGTTGTGTCGTCAAACTCGTTACACACAGGGTTGTGTCGTCAAACTCGTTACACACAGGGTTGTGTCGTCAAACTCGTTACACACAGGGTTGTGTCGTCAAACTCGTTACACACAGGGTTGTGTCGTCAAACTCGTTACACACAGGGTTGTGTCGTCAAACTCGTTACACACAGGGTTGTGTCGTCAAACTCGTTACACACAGGGTTGTGTCGTCAAACTCGTTACACACAGGATTGTGTCGTCAAACTCGTTACACACAGGGTTGTGTCGTCAAACTCGTTACACACAGGGTTGTGTCGTCAAACTCGTTACACACAGGATTGTGTCGTCAAACTCGTTACACACAGGATTGTGTCGTCAAACTCGTTACACACAGGATTGTGTCGTCAAACTCGTTACACACAGGATTGTGTCGTCAAACTCGTTACACACAGGATTGCTCTCCTCTCAGTCCTCATACAACCAGTATCTCGCACCTTTCCCTGGTTTTACTCTTTCTTTGACAATTTTCTATCCTGCATCTGTGATATAAAGTTTTATGTGAATATGAATTAGAGTTGTGTAAAAGTAAGATGTATTTTTAAGAATATCTGAGCCGACGCGTCAAACTCAGATTTAGTGTAATCTCTGCTGTAGTCTGAGCTGCTTGTATGAAATGTGCTATACATATAAATACTCCACCACCTGAGCCCTGGATGTTCATTATGGACGTTTATGAACATAGATATTGGTCACTCCCTCTGGACCACAGGCTGTGTTTGGGATTATTCCGTTTTTGTTTGATTCTCTGATCTGATGTAAAGCCCTTTGAGACGACTGCTGCTGTGATTTTAGGGCTATACGAAAATACATTTATTAATTAGTGCTGGTTTAACTGTAGATAATGAGTTTAGTCCCAACGCATTTGGTTTTAAAGGTGTTGGTGTGAGGTGTACACACGCTTTGTGTCTGTGTGGCGTGTGTGTGGCGTGTGTGTGGCGTGTGTGTGGCGTGTGTGTGGCGTGTGTGTGGCGTGTGTGTGGCGTGTGTGTGGCGTGTGTGTGGCGTGTGTGTGGCGTGTGTGTGGCGTGTGTGTGGCGTGTGTGTGGCGTGTGTGTGGCATGTGTGTGGCGTCCGTGTGTGGCGTGTGTGGCGTCCGTGTGGCGTGTGTGGCGTGCGTGTGGTGTGCGTGTGCTCTGGTCCAGTGTTATTACCGAGGTCATTAAACCACGCAGCCTTCAGGGCCCAAGTGCTGCTGGAAATATGAGGTTCTATTTTGGTCCTGGTCCAATCACATGATGTAAACATGATGTGACTTGTTGAAAAAGCGCCGTGAGGAGAAACGCAAACGAACCCCAGTGTCGCTTTAGTTTCATCTAATTTGATGTTTTTTGGGGGAAGTGATGAATTATGAACCCTATGAACTGTGTTTTTTTTCCAGGAGAATGATTATCTGCAGGAGTGCCTTGAAGTGGTTCAGCAAGAATTCATGATCTTCAACCGCGAGAAGTAAGACTCGATTACAGTTTGTAGCAGGAAGCTAACATTGGTGGTTAGCGCCAGAAGCTTCTGGGTTTGATTCCACCTCTTTCTGTGTGGAGTTTGCATGTTCTTCCTGTGTCTGCAAAGGTTTCCTCCAGGTGCTCCTGTTTCCCCTACCACTAAAAGCATGTACAGGTCTGGCATATGTCTCCTGTAGGCGACTCCACTCCAGTGTGGAGAGAGAGACAAATGCCCAGAACAATCTTAAAGAGCTTTGTGACTGAAAGGCTTATTATTAACCCAGACATTTTAGTTATTTCACTTTTAGTTAATCAGGAAAAATCCCATTGAGATTAAGAACCTCTTTTTCAAGGGAGTCCTGGCCAAGAGGCAGCAAAGTTACACATAAACACAACAGATAAAAGCCAAGAGAAAAGACATGAGACAAGGAGACATCAGGAGGTTACATTGTTCATTTAGCATGTATTAGCAGTTTTAAGCTAGGTCCCAGAGTCTGGTCCGTCAGCGCTCCTTCATCACGCTACCAAAATCTGATTGTTACAGAGAAGGATGGCGCTTAGATAGACCTTATCTATCTATCTATGTATCTATCTATCTATCTATCTATCTATCTATCTATCTATCTATGTATCTATGTATCTATCTATCTATCTATCTATCTATCTATCTATCTATCTATCTATCTACTGTATCTATGTATCTATCTATCTATCTATCTATCTATCTATCTATCTATCTATCTATCTATCTATCTATCTATGTATCTATCTATCTATCTATGTATCTATCTATCTATGTATCTATCTATCTATCTATCTGTCTATCTATCTATCTATCTATCTATCTATCTATCTATCTATGTATCTATCTATCTATCTATGTATCTATCTATCTATGTATCTATCTATCTATCTATCTGTCTATCTATCTATCTATCTATCTATCTATCTATGTATCTATCTATCTATCTATGTATCTATCTATCTATGTATCTATCTATCTATCTGTCTATCTATCTATCTATCTATCTATCTATGTATCTATCTATCTATGTATCTATCTATCTATCTATCTATGTATCTATCTGTCTATCTATCTATCTATCTATCTATCTATCTATCTATCTATCTATCTATCTATCTATCTATCTGTCTATCAGTCTATCTGTGTATCTATGGATCGATCTATCAAACTTCCCTGATTCTTCTTCAGTCTGTGCTTCTTTTCTCCACTAAATACAATAAACTGTAGATTTCATGAAATCCTTTCTGCCAAACCATTGTTCCTTTTCTCCAACACAAAGTCCTTGGAAGATGTTGTTTTTCTGCACAGCTGTTCACTTCCGAACTAATCAAAGTTTTACAGTGTTTCTCAGTGGCTTTGGTGCATTTCTCACATCATTCTTCACATTTGGTGCATTTCTCAGAACTATTAGTGCAAACTGAAAAACCTCGTGGATCACCTGCAAAAGTCACTTTCTCAAAATGAAAAGTTAATTCCTCAAAAGCATGTCTTCAGGTAAATGAAACTCTCAGAATGATAAGTCCTGACAACACTGAGTATGAACAACAGTCACGTGACTTAGTCATGTGACTTAGTCATGTGACTGTTGTGAAAGTTTACTCTCTGTTTTCACTGTAAAAAAGTCAGATCTCAGTGACACTCGGTGAACACTATACACTGTAAAAACTACACTACAGAAGTAGTGTACACTAGAAGTACTACAGATACTTAACTAAATACAGTCATGTGTAACACATGACTGTATTTAGTTAAGTATCTGAGTACAACACATGTATATATGTATGTGTGTATGTATGTACAGTGCCTTGCGAAAGTATTCGGCCCCCTTGAACCTTTCGACATTTCGCCACATTTCAGGCTTCGAACATAAAGATATAAAAATTAAATTTTTTGTCAAGAATCAACAACAAGTGGGACACAATCGTGAAGTGGAACAAAATGTATTGGATAATTTAAACTTTTTTAACAAATAAAAAACTGAAAAGTGGGGCGTGCAATATTATTCGGCCCCTTGCGCTAATACTTTGTAGCGCCACCTTTTGCTGCAATTACAGCTGCAAGTCGCTTGGGGTATGTCTCTATCAGTTTTGCACATCAAGAGACTGGAATTCTTGCCCATTCTTCCTTGCAAAACAGCTGGAGCTCAGTGAGGTTGGATGGAGAGCGTTTGTGAACAGCAGTCTTCAGCTCTTTCCACAGATTCTCGATTGGATTCAGGTCTGGACTTTGACTTGGCCATTCTAACACCTGGATACGTCTATTTGTGAACCATTCCATTGTAGATTTGGCTTTATGTTTTGGATCATTGTCCTGTTGGAAGATAAATCTCCGTCCCAGTCTCAGGTCTTTTGCAGACTCCAACAGGTTTTCTTCCAGAATGGTCCTGTATTTGGCTCCATCCATCTTCCCATCAATGTTAGCCATCTTCCCTGTCCCTGCTGAAGAAAAGCAGGCCCAAAGCATGATGCTGCCACCACCATGTTTGACAGTGGGGATGGTGTGTTCAGGGTGATGAGCTGTGTTGCTTTTACGCCAAACATATCGTTTTGCATTGTGGCCAAAAAGTTTGATTTTGGTTTCATCTGACCAGAGCACCTTCTTCCACATGTTTGGTGTGTCTCCCAGGTGGCTTGTGGCAAACTTTAAACCAGACTTTTTATGGATATCTTTGAGAAATGGCTTTCTTCTTGCCACTCTTCCATAAAGGCCAGATTTGTGCAATGCACGACTGATTGTTGTCCTATGGACAGACTCTCCCACCTCAGCTGTAGTTATCTGCAGTTCATCCAGAGTGATCATGGGCCTCTTGGCTGCATCTCTGATCAGTCTTCTCCTTGTTTGAGATGAAAGTTTGGAGGGACGGCCGGGTCTTGGTAGATTTGCAGTGGTCTGATACTCCTTCCATTTCAATATAATTGCTTGCACAGTGCTCCTTGAGATGTTTAAAGCTTGGGAAATCTTTTTGTATCCAAATCCGGCTTTAAACTTCTCCACAACAGTATCTCGGACCTGCCTGGTGTGTTCCTTTGTCTTCATGGTTCTCTCTGTGCTTTAAACAGAACCCTGAGACTATCAAAGAGCAGGTGCATTTATACGGAGACTTGATTACACACAGGTGCATTCTATTTATCATCATCAGTCATTTAGGACAACATTGGATCATTCAAAGATCCTCACTGAACTTCTGGACTGAGTTTGCTGCACTGAAAGTAAAGGGGCCCAATAATATTGCACGCCCTACTTTTCAGTTTTTTATTTGTTAAAAAAGTTTCAATTATCCAATAAATTTTGTTCCACTTCACAATTGTGTCCCACTTTTTGATTCATGACAAAAAATTCAAATTTTATATCTTTATGTTTGAAGCCTGAAATGTGGCGAAATGTTGAAAGGTTCAAGGGGGCCGAATACTTTACTGTATGTACTGTATGTATGTGTCTTTCACATATTTACTGCTCTTTGCAATTCTACAGCATTGTGTGACAAAAATACAGTCACTTACATGTTGTTCAACGTAAGTTGAACAAACATTCAGAAGAATTGAGACGACCAAAGAGATGAAAGGAGGACTATTGGTTTGATAGAGAAAGACTATTCAGCTTCATAAGTATGTTTCATTCTGACAGGACAGAAGCAAATTATAAAGTTATAAAACAGCAGAGAATTGTATGAAAGTAACTGATACATGAACAAAAGCATTTGTAAAGTGTTCAAAGGAGAAACTGCTGCGATGATGTCACACATGACTCAGTTTTGTGGAGGTTGGACTCATAGTTTTGAGAAGTTTAAGTCTGAGAAATGCACCAAAGACTCTGAGAAAAACTGTAAACTATAAAGAAGTCTGGACAGAACAAACAGAGTGATCATTAAAGTTCATTAAAGTGATAAATATAACGTGAGGCTTTGTCTGCAGGTTAAAGAGGCGTCAGGAGGAGGGGCCCTCTGAGGCCGGAGCTACAGACCAGGACCTCCCAGACCAGGACCTCCCAGACCCTGAGCCAGACCAGACCCCAGTCCAGGACCCAGACCAGGACCCAGACCAGGACCCAGACCAGGACCCAGACCAGAACCCAGATCAGGACCAGCACCAGAATCATGACCAAGACCAGGAGCCGGGACCTGAGGCCTCGTCCAAACGGAGCATGTGCGGCTCCGTCTGCTCGTCCCCTGGGAGCTGCTAACCCTCGGCCTGGCCCCGGGGACTGTGCCACGTCTATCACCTCAAAAACAACAGCTGGATTTTCAACTTTTCAACAGGTTTTGATACAAATGTTTGTATGTGGTGACGGTTTACGGAGTGATGGGCCACGAGCTTCAAACAAAACATGTGGATTATGTTTTCGCTTGTTCCAAAACCAAATCATGTTTCAGAGATTTAGCATTTCAACCACAATAATTTAAACTAGAAAATAAAATCCAACTAGTGTTTTGTCTAATAGAAGGTAAAGTCCCAGCTTTAAGGACAATGGGCCTCATGTATGAAAGTTGCGTAGAAAAGGGTGTATATTTTGGGTGTATATTTCATTTACGCAAGATCCGACGTGGCATTTATGAACGTGTGAGATACAGATCTGAGCGTACGCACCTGCGGCAGTTTATAAATGCTGCGCTCAAAACCAGCGTATTTATGAAAGTCACGCCTAGAAATATTCAGAAACTGCCTGTTCCACGCCCTGTTTTTGAGACAGGTCAGCAGGAAGTCGGCTAAGAAGACTGTTTGGAAGCCTCAAAAAACACACACTTCTGAGATTATTTTTGTTTAAAAAATATATATATATACCCTCTATTATATATACGCGTTTTCCCCTAGTGTCTAGACCCACTGCAGCACTCATCTCTCCTGAAATGTAGAAGTAAATAAATAAATAATAAATGAATGAATGAATGAACCAGTTCCCACATGAGCGTTGCATCCTCTCTCTGCTGCGGAGAACAGTGCAGTGGATGAGACAGTTTTGATCCAGATCAGGTGCGTTTGGGGCTTTATGCACAAAACTAAGAAAACCAACATTGTTTTGCCAGAGGTGAATGAGGCCAAACATGTGCGTAATTTCGTGTACGGCGCAGGGTCTGGTTAGTGAGTAAACGGCTAAGGAAAAATAACTTCACGGAGCAGGAGATTGAGACCATTATGAACAAAGTGGGAAAAAGAATAAAGTCTTACGATTTGGAATTCTCAAAAGTGGCATCAAGGGGCTCAAAAAAACAATATATGGAAAGAAATGACAGCATCTGTAAACAGCGTGGGGGTGGTAACACACACTCCTGAAGAGCTGAGTTTATTCATGTTCGAAGAAAAATACACTATATTATATCAAACAGCTGATATATTGGGCCAATAATAAGAATTCATTAATTTATGCCACAAGTGAAAAAAAAGGGAGCGACCTTAAAATAGTAACAAAAAGGCGTTTAGCGCAGCCCATAGAAGAAGTGCTCAGCAGCGAAGGGGGAGGACCGCCAGACCAAAGCATCCAAAAGAAAATATAAAGAAATAAAATTAACTTCAAATTATGTGATTATTATTTTAAAATGGTTGAATGAGAGTCTGAGCTGTACAGGCCGAAGGCGGTGCTGGCCATGGTCTCTCATCCATGGTCTCTCATCCATGGTCGCTCATCCATGGTCTCTCACCCATGGTCTCTCACCCATGGTCTCTCACCCATGGTCTCTCATCCATGGTCGCTCATCCATGGTCGCTCATCCATGGTCTCTCATCCATGGTCTCTCATCCATGGTCTCTCATCCATGGTCTCTCATCCATGGTCGCTCATCCATGGTCTCTCATCCATGGTCTCTCATCCATGGTCTCTCATCCATGGTCTCTCATTCATGGTCTCTCATCCATGGTCTCTCATCCATGGTCTCTCACCCATGGTCTCTCATCCATGGTCTCTCATCCATGGTCTCTCATCCATGGTCTCTCACCCATGGTCTCTCATCCATGGTCTCTCATCCATGGTCTCTCACCCATGGTCTCTCATCCATGGTCTCTCATCCATGGTCTCTCACCCATGGTCTCTCACCCATGGTCTCTCACCATGGTCTCTCACCCATGGTCTCTCACCCATGGTCTCTCACCCATGGTCTCTCACCCATGGTCTCTCATCCATGGGCTGCTCCACCAGTGGCACACTGTGGTTCTGTGCCTGTTGTGGAGAACCGAGCCAGGACCATGTGGCACACTTGTACCAGGAGGTACCAGAGCGTACCCCCTACATGTCCCAGAGCCTGATCAGACCCGCGCAGCGCCCCCTGGTGGCGTCTTTGCTTGGACCCGCATGAACCAAAGCCATTACGCACTGATTGTAGATGCATATAACAATCCACACATTTGTGGGAGACTAAGTTTGACATCTTGTTATTTAATAACACAAACTAGCTCTAACATAACACCGTAAAATTGCATATTTGTAATGTGAGAAGTGTGCCTATAATCTTGCCAGAGGGAATATGTTTATTTTTGTCCAAATCTTGCATTTCATGCGTGTTTTGGCGTGTTGTAATGAAGGTTGAAATGAGCGTACACATTTACACCACATATTGACTTGGTGTAAATTCTGTGCGTATCGTTCGCTCACGTCCAGAATGATAAATGTGGAAACGTGTAAATATTTTGCGTACGCCTCATTTACCCTGATTTGGCCGTACACAGGTTTCATACATGAGGCCCATTCTGAGCTTTCTGTCGTTGTTTCTTTGTCAGAAATCATTCCTGGAGACACATCCCCCCACCCCTTCTGTTCAAATGCTCTGTTATCAAACTGTGACAGAACTTCATTCTATGACGTTTTCTTTTGTTTCCTCTTTTTGCAAACACCTCCGTAACAAATACGTGCCTTCGATCACGTCATTTATAAAAAAATGTTTTTGGTGTAACTAAATCAAAACCAGAACGTGCCAAAAATAACAAAAGTCCTTTTTACAAATTCTTTCCGAAGTTTGGTACAAGCCTCAGGTCAGTCTTAAAACTTAGACTTGGTTTAGTCCAATGGGTTTCCTCTGTAAGAACTAGTGGCTCAGATGGTAGTGGTCTTTGAACCTAGTGGTTGTGGGTTCGATCCCCTCACAACTCAGGTCACCTTCTCACACTTAAGTCTGCTGTCGTTCTGTCCTTGGGCAAGACACTTAACCCCACTTTGCCTGAAGCCCCCGCTGAAAGGATCAGAGCCTTTATAAGTGAGGGCTCTGATTGCCACCTTCCCAACCCGGAAACAGACTAGTAAAGGAGACAAAAAGTATATATATAAGAAATTACGCCCCCATTTCAACCTTGGTCTATCCGTGGGGGCTTCGTGGGGTGAAGTGTCTTGCCCGATGACAGCAGACATCAGTGGGAGCAGGTAGAGAAGGTCTAATGTGAGGGAATCGAACCCAAAGGTCAATGCCCCACCAACTGAGCCCCTGTCATTCCTCACAGATGTCAAGATACAGCCCCTTTAATTTCCACACAACAAACAGTGATGCATTTCCACCACCGGCCTCCTCCTGCTCCTGTTACCCCCTGCTAAACTCCACCACATACAAACTACTCAAACTTCGACAGTTTTTATCTTGTAGCATTTTCTTGGAACGATTCCCGCCCCTTTCTGTCCGTCTATAACAAACACTTACGGCTCTTTCTTCTATGCAACGTGACGGATCGCATGAAAAATCCAGGATTGTGAAGGACCCAAGGCTGCAGAGCACAGACTGATGACACGGAGAAACCGCCTGTTTTTGGACCAGTTTGGGATGTTTTCTTTGGTGCAGCCTCTCACTCCCAGAGAACCTAATGCTGGATCTGAATAATTCACGCCGGAGACAGAAGAGTTGTTGTCAGCGCGCTCACACTTCCCTTTGGCCTCTTTGCGGGTAACGTCAGGACAGATCCCACCGCTCCATCCCCCGGTCTCTGCAGATGGGTTCGCATCCCGACAGTATGAAGGCGTTGTTGTCGTACTGGATCTTCTGTCTTTTAGTAAATGGCAATCTGAAATGTGATGTGATGGGATTGGCTGCAAAAAGCAAGAGTTCTGCCAGAAATGAGATTGGAACTGACAAAGATTGGAGAGACAGAGACAGAGAGAAAGAGGACTGCTAAAGGCAAGTGTATGCATTCAAAACAATATACAAATATTGACAAAGATGAAGGAAAAGCCAGGGCCCTGCATAGAAAGTGCCCTAGATTCACAGGCTCAGATCAGTCGTAGACAGAAGAACCTTCGCTTTGGAAGGTTCATCTTGTCTGCTTGGTAAAAAGAACGTTGTTTACTGCTGTATTATTACAGTCTGGTACAGAAGAACAGAAGAACTTCAGGGCCAGTCTGTAATATTTTAACTTTCTGACATCTACAGGTTATCCAATCAGAGAACAGACTGGGACTCCCATTTCAGCTGCCAAGGTGAAATTTGGCTAGTTTTGGCTTTTTGTTGTATTTTTGATCTGGCACCTAAAATGACACAAGTTGGCTCCAAAAAACAGGAAGTTGTTGCTTTAGGCACAGTTTTGTCAGAATTGTCATGTACGAAAGAAGTGCTAAAGCTGTTTAACAAAGTCCATAGATAAAAGACAAATATTTAAGAAGGAAGTAGAAAAACATTTGTGGAAACCTCTGCACACAAAGAACCCTGGATCAGTGTTTCTACTTTGGTTCATTTTCCAGTTTCAAGTCTCCATAAGTTTCCTCATATGACTAATTGTAAAATAGATTATTTATAATTAATCCGTTACCTCAGGATCCACTGATGCCGTTTCCTTCATGTTTCCTCTTTGCCATTTTCTATAAAGACAGAAAAGAGTGTCTTTAAGATGTGCCTGATCAGTGTTTTCCTGTGTACTGCCTCGGTCTGTGTTACTTTGTCTTTAAATATTATAGTATATAAACGTGTACAGTGCTCTGAGCGTGTAACTGTCTTTCAGGTTCAACACATGAAGTGGAACCAGAGCTAACAGTGAGAATGGTTAAAATCGCTGCCAACAATTCAAAGATGATTAGTTTAAGTATTTTTGTTCAGGCTTTGATAAAGTTTGTTTTTGGTGCGTTGTTGTAAGAATCTATGCCGTCAGTATTTGTGCTACATTTAAGGTGGTATTGGGGTTCTCAGTGGGATCTGGGAGCATGTAGCAGTCCACCTTAAACCCTTCGGCCTGAATAACGACTATGGGGCAGCAAAGTGGGCGGAGCTTGAGGTTTCAGGAAGTGAAATTCCCGATGAGAAATCTCCACAGGGATTTTAAAAGATTGGAAACATGTTTGAGGATGATCATCTGAGTAATGAGCGCACTAATACATTAAAATATGTAAATTATGTAATAAATATATTGTAATAAATGTAGAATTATGAAATATTGAAAACCACAGAGTTAAGCAAGAGTTTATTTTAATTATATATATTCTTAGGCCGCAGTGAATAGTAATGATCTGAAATCTCTGGAGCCGTGTCGTGTCTTCAAACTCTTGATTTGGAATTTTCAAAACACTTTTAAAGGGACAGTATCTAATATGTTCTTATGTATAAATGTATATCTGCTTCTAAGGAAGACAAAACTAAACCATCGATACATGTCCAGGTAAAATATTAATTATTATTATTATTATTTAATAATTTACTATATTTGACCTTTTCTGTAAGTACAAAACCAACCATTTTCAATCAGATTATCCAATCAGAGAGCAGAGTGAGTCTAGCATTTGGGTTGCCAGTTTGTGAGAGGAAATGTAGCTGATTTGGGCTTTTCCCACTTTAAAAAATAAATAAAAATAACACATTAAAACCAAGAATAACACATTTGTTTATATGTATGTATTAGTTTTATTTAATCTTCAATTCAGACACAAAGAGTCCATAAAACACAAAAACTAAAATGCTTAAATGAAAGCAGATGCAAAAGAAGTACTCACGGTGTGCACTGTTTCTAGCTAAACCCCAGCAGGTGGATTGCATCAGTAACCAGTGCTTATGGAGCTACATGTGTCACAGCAGAGCATCTCACTGAGGGTCACTAACACTCACAGATTTATATGCTATTTGCAGTAAAACCCCGTTGGAATAACTGTGCAAGACCAGTGTGCACCAGACAGAACACACCAGAGCTCCTGCTACGCTGCCATTTTTCCGGCCCCGTGCGAAAAATCAATTGTGAATTTCACTTCCACAAACCCCAAGGCTCCGAGCCCCGGAACGACAAACTGTAAATATCCAAAACCGCAGCAGTTTCTTTCACAGTTTTATGTGAGAGTCCAGATCAAGTGTGCGGGCACAACTTGTCGGCAGAAACATGCCAAAGCTTTTCTACCATTTGCAAAAACCATTTCTAACAAAAGTGAATGTGTGTGTTTACTTTCTCTAAGGTCCTTCATTTATACAAGCAGAATATTATGTACAGAGTATTTCAGACTATTTCAGCTCGGCCTCAGAGAGAAACCAGGGAATCAAATGTTTGAGTCATTTTTCAGGGATAATGTACAGTACGCAGGTCATTATCGAAAAGTCCCGACAGGACGGAGCTGCTTCGCCTGAAGGTACTTATTTTCATTATTTACGTTATCCACTTATTATACGCTTTGTACCAACAGAACAAAATAAACTTCTGTCCTTTTAGGAACGCCAAAAGGTTTATTTAATGACTGAAAATAAAATAGTTCCTAAAGGTTTTCCCTGGGCTATGTGAGAAACAGAGGACCTCAGAGGACCTCAGAGGACCTCAGACCTCAGACCTCAGAGGACCTCAGAGGACCTCAGACCTCAGACCTCAGAGGACCTCAGAGGACCCTCAGACCTCAGACCTCAGAGGACCTCAGAGGACCTCAGACCTCAGACCTCAGAGGACCTCAGAGGACCTCAGACCTCAGACCTCAGAGGACCTCAGAGGACCTCAGACCTCAGACCTCAGAGGACCTCAGAGGACCTCAGAGGACCTCAGAGGACCACAGAGGACCTCAGAGGACCTCAGAGGACCTCAGACCTCAGACCTCAGAGGACCTCAGAGGACCTCAGACCTCAGAGGACCTCAGAGGACCTTTTTAGATAGTTGAATCCAGTCCGATCCGGTCTCATTGCTGTGTTTGTCACTTCCTCCTCAGAACCACAGATATAAAACAGTTTCCTTCTGTGCAGAACATTGCGACAAACACTAAACTCTGTTCATCAATAAAAGTCTTTTATCTCCTGGTTTCTCTCGGAGCCTTGAAGCTGAACTTCTTTAGCAGAATATTATAATTAGTTTTTAGTATTTCCATGAATATGAAATGCTGATCTGAGAGTTTTATGCTTCCTGTGCATGACCAGAGCTCACTAATTCATGCATGGACTTTTACTGAGGACATAATGTGGCCCGGGCCGGACTAAACCAGGCCAGACTGAACCAGGCCGGGCTGAACCAGGCCGGACCGACCCAGGCCGGACTGAACCAGGCCAGGCTGAGCCAGGCCGGACGGAGCCAGGCCGGACTGACCCAGGCCGGGCTGACCCAGGCCGGGCTGACCCAGGCCGGGCTGAGCCAGGCCGGACTGAGCCAGGCCTGGAGGTGAGGTCAGTGACTGTAACATCCGCTGTTGTTCTGAGGCGTGACTTTCAGCATCTTGTGGGATTTGCAGATTTAAATGTTTTTGTCGGACAAACACAGGTTTGTTAGATTCTAACGGCACAAATAAAGATTTAGTTTTTCATGTATTTTATCTAAAGTGATTATATAAAAGTTTTTATCTAACGTGAGAGTTTTCTGAAATTAGGGATTCACTTTTGAAGCAGAAACCAAGAATAGAAATGTACAATATTATTTTTCTGATAATTTGTCATTTCAAATATTTCAGAGTGAAAGTTAAGTCCAGATCAGGGGTGTCAAAGTCCAGGCCCGAGGGCCACATCCGGCCCGTGAATGAGTGATCTCGGCCCTGGGATCATGTTTGATCAGTTTTAGAACCAGCCGCACACAGACAGGAGAAAATATTGGATTATTAATTTAATGTTCATGTTGTCTGTGAGCTGTTGACAAATGTTTTCAGTTGAAATGACAGAACCACAGAAACATTGTATTATTATTTTATCATTAAATATACGATACATATTTCTATTGAACCAAGACACAATGTATCATTTTAATATGTTTTGATGAACATTGAACCAGTCCGACCCTCGGACTGATGGGTCTGATGTGTTTGACTTTGACATCCCTGCTCTAGATCAATGCAGCTGCTCAATAGGGAAGTGCTCATGGACAAAGTTTTGCTATTGACTATATTGAAAACTCCTCTCGCTCAGTAACTGTTTGCGTCACACTCACCATTTTGGGCTTTTAAAAATCCATAAATTAGCCTCTTTTGGATCCTGGTGTTTATATCGTGATATTGTCTTTGTAAATCCAGATATGAGCCATAACAACGGACCAATCAGAAACCTCCTGTAGCCGAAAATTTTCTTAAACTGGCGGTTTAATCGCCAATAGCCTGTTAGCTAGCTCTGAACGGCCTCTTTCGCATGTTTTCATGTTCTGCTAAAACACACGGTTCTTTGGAGTCTGTGAAAGAATTATAATTTTTTTGGTAAAAAGTACATCTAGAGTGTGTCGTGTTGGTTATTGGCAGATTATAACTGTTTAAGTACATTTGTATTTTACTGTAGCTTCTGTTTTCAAAAGAACAGATGAAAGTGTCAGATTATTATAGACAAAGATTGTGTCACTGGTTTTTGGTCCATTGACATTTGAGTTAAATAGAAAATCAACTCTTTCAAGACAGTAATTAACACTAAATAAGGATTAGTTGAATATTGCATTTTGGGAAAACAGTGAGAAAGACTTTGAATTTACCCATAACCAGTTTCTCCTTTTCTTGAGCAAATTCTTTCAGATTTTCTGCCAAAAACAAAACTAATTATAAAGATGGTAACTTGAGGAACACAACTTTTTGACAAATTATCAAAACTGAGACATGTTTTTGCGGTGAATTCTTCATTTGGAGTGGTCTGAAGTCTAATCTGCTCTAATCTGGAAAATAGATGTTTGATCTCCTTTAATGATCAAAGATGCAGTAATCCTCCATATCATGCTCTCGCTTCTCGGCAAAGAAGGTCCTGGGTTCACGTCCAAATGTAGAGGACAAACTTAACCTTATCTGGAGAAGTTCAAATTGTATCAAAATCTTCAGTTTCACCAAATCCTTAAGAATCCAGTGGTTTTTATTCAGCTCCTGCACTCGTAAAGTTTTAACTATTCTGGTTTTAGTGAAAGTCGTAGTTAAAGGTTTAGAGGAGGATTTCTCCAAGTTTTAGGAAAGAACCGCCCTCTCCACTTTTAATAAATCTCTCTGCTCTGATTGGACGAGCACGTATCACCAGAGTGATTGACAGTTGGCGAGGACCAATAGACTTCATGATCCACCCTGAAGTAGAAAATCCTCCTCTACATCTTTAATAGGTTGGAAGTACAATTCTCTTTCTAAACCAAGAGCAAAACTATAAATGTATCGTCTGAAATGAGCAGTGACTAAATGTTGCTTTAGTTTGAATAAAATGATGTTAATTCTCCGTTTCTAGCCCTCGAGGATCACGCTCTCTCCTGACTTTGTGCAGATGTGGTTTTCTCTGATTGGACGATGTCAGAAGGACCTTGTTTGTGTTTTCTGGATTCTGTTTTTGGACTAAAGACTCTGTGCTTGTGTTGAAAAAGCCGCATGTTTCTTCACTCTTTGCCTCTCGTTCGGGAAAGAAAAGTTTGTTCATGTTTTGTGGCGTTTTTGAAAACTGCAAATGGACTGAAATGCTCGTCGTGAAATGGACATGCTGCTTTAACTGCTTTGATAAAGAAATAAAAAGGGTAAAGAAACTGTTTTACTGTTGTGTTTTCTCTGCTACAGACTGTGCTGCTCAGAGCGGCCAGAGGGGGGCGCTGCTGAGTTAAGGCCACGACAGAGACTACAGTGTGCATTTGTAAACAGGAAATACATCTGCTTCTCTTCTTTCTTAGGCTTTGCTTTAGATCTTTGTTGACTTATATTTAATACTGATTCGTTCATTTATTCTAACATCATCATAGTTTTTTAATATAATTTTATTTTCACACATGATAAACGTATTTAATTGAAGGGAGCAAGTCTGTTACTGAACACTAAGGGTGTGTGAAACATTTATTTGTAGAGAACATTTAAACCAGCCTGGGCTCACCAAAGTGCTGCAGACAGCGAGAAAATATATATATTCAATGCAAACAATAAAAATAAAAAACAAAAACTTGTCTATTTCTACTCTGGTGTTGAATCGTGAGAGGGGTCGGGGAAAATATCATCCTACCTCTTTTCAAACTTGAGTTTGGGTAAATAAGATGTGAAATAGTTAAATAAATTAGAGTAAGAGCCCAAGAGAAAAATAAACCTGAAAATGACCCAAAGAAAACTTCATACAGGACAGTAATGTGCACATCTGTCTCCTTCAAAGACTTCCTCCATGAGGATGTGATCAAGAACCCCACGGACCAACCATGCAACGTAAAGGTGCGTTTTATTTATCTCCAAACGGCAATTGCTCCTCTGCATTTGACCCAACTTGATGCTACTAGGGCCTTTGTCAGGAGCAGTAGTCACTGTCGCATGTTGGTCAGAACCAGAGCTGGAGGATTTTACCTATTGCGCATGTTTTAGTGGTAAGGGAAACTGGAGCACCCGGAGGAAACCTACACAGGCACTGGGAGAAAAAACTACACCCAAAAAAGCCCCTGTTCAGTTCGGGATTCGAACCCAGGATCTTCTTGATGAGACGTAAGGGGTTGTTTAAGTAAGTAAGTAAGCTTTATTTATATAGCGCCTTTCACAGACCAGAGTCACAAAGCGGTTTACAATCGTTATTTTTTGGGTATTTGTCTCTCACTCCACACAGGATTTGAACCCAGGACCTTCTTGCTGAGAGGCGAGAGTGCTATCCACTCAGCCACCGTGCCGGGTCATCCTCCCTATGGACCGATGGTTCCCATGTGATCCTTTGTGATTTTTGCATGTCCTGTGTTTTAATGTTCGATTCAAATACTTCATATTTATGATGCTATATTTACATGGCAAACAAATTATTATTCCGCTGTCTCCAAAAGGAGGTTCTTTCCAACATGGCCCTCAGGAAAATGTGCATGAAAAATAAATTGAAGAATGCCTTATGTATGAACATGCACTTTTATAACCTCAAACCTCACATCACTTCAGTACTTCAGCTCTTCAGCTCTAGAATACACAAGAGAAAGGTGTTGCAGATACAGCTGGTGCCTGTGAGGAACCTTTCACCTCCCACATCATTTTGGTTCCATCTCTAATGTTTAGATGTTTGTTTTGGTCTCTGTCACATCCACATCTAAAGGTCAGCTTAGCTGTAAGTAGCAGCAGAAGCTAGTCCTGTTTATTCTATACACTCTACAATACAGCAGTGATATACAATAAGGTAAGATAAACTTTATCTCACAATGGATACATTTGCACGTCACTTTTGGCATCACTCAGCTTGTCCAAAATGATGGGCTGTTTGCAACAAAAAAGTGACTAGAGCAGTACGAGTTATAGCAAGCAGGACACAGTCGACATCAGACACAATTATTCACCCAAACAATGACAATTATTCACCCAGTCTTCCAAATGGCAGCCGGTTTCTCTCCCGAGCATCAAGTTGAACCTGGGATTGTCCTTTTTCAGCCTCTTCTGGTGTCCAGTGGCGACCAAGAGCTTAGAAACTTCTGCATAAACTGTGCTATTGTCATCTCTGCTCACAGACGTGTCTATTTGAGCAGATAGGCAGAGGTCATTGCAGCACGGGGCTATCTCGTCTCATCTCGACATACTGAAGATTCAGTCATTTCCATCGCATACAAACACGTTATTAATCTGCAGCACGCAAATCTAACACTAATTAAAGTAGTCATGTACAGCAAATGAATGAAAAGTTAGCAGTAAACACAGTCTCTGCTAAAAATATCATTTAAATCCCCCAGAAACAGGGTGTGACTACTGCTACGACTGCTGTCTGTGAGGATGTCTCTTGTATTTGTGTGTAAAAATCAAATGGTTACAGCTACAGAATCGATTTAAGAGATAATCAAAGTGGCTTAATCAGAATCCTTTTTATTGCCATGTACAGTGGGGCAAAAAAGTACTTAGTCAGCCACCAATTGTGCAAGTTCTCCCACTTAAAATAATGACAGAGGTCTGTAATTTTCATCATAGGTTCACTTCAACTGTGAGAGACAGAATGTGAAAAAAAAAAAGGAATTCACATTGTAGGATTTTTAAAGAATTTATTTGTAAATGATGGTGGAAAATAAGTATTTGGTCAATAACAAAAATTCAACTCAATACTTTGTAATATAACCTTTGTTGGCAATAACAGGTCAAACGATTACTATAGGTCTTTACCAGGTTTGCACACAGTAGCTGGTATTTTGGCCCATTCCTCCATGCAGATCGTCTCGAGAGCAGTCAACACAGACTTTCAACTCCCTCCACAGATTTTCAATGGGGTTGAGGTCTGGAGACTGGCTCCAGGACTTTCAAATGCTTCTTACGGAGCCACTCCTTCGTTGCCCGGGCGGTGTGTTTGGGATCATTGTCATGCTGGAAGACCCAGTCACGTTTCATCTTCAAAGCTCTCACTGATGGAAGGAGGTTTTGGCTCAAAATCTCACGATACATGGCCCCATTCATTCTTTCCTTAACACAGATCAGTCGTCCTGTCCCCTTAGCAGAAAAACAGCCCCAAAGCATGACGTTTCCACCCCCATGCTTCACAGTAGGTATGGTGTTCTTGGGATGCAACTCAGTATTCTTCCACATGACATTCTCCCAATCCTCTGCTGTATCATCCATGTGCTCTCTGGCAAACTTCAGACGGGCCTGGACATGCACTGGCTTCAGCAGGGGGACACGTCTGGCACTGCAGGATTTGATTCCCTGTCGTCCTAGTGTGTTACTGATGGTAACCTTTGTTACTTTGGTCCCAGCTCTCTGCAGGTCATTCACCAGGTCCCCCCGTGTGGTTCTGGGATATTTGATCACCGTTCTCATGATCATTTTGACCCCACAGGATGAGATCTTGCGTGGAGCCCCAGATCGAGGGAGATTATCAGTGGTCTTGTATGTCTTCCATTTTCTGATAATTGCTCCCACAGTTGATTTGTTCACACCAAGCTGCTTGCCTATTGTAGATTCACTCTTCCCAGTCTGGTGCAGGTCTACAATTCTTTTCCTGCTGTCCTTCGACAGCTCTTTGGTCTTGGCCATAGTGGAGTTTGGAGTCTGACTGTCTGAGGCTGTGGACAGGTGTCTTTTGTACAGATGAGTTCAAACAGGTGCCATTAATACAGGTAACGAGTGGAGGACAGAAGAGCTTCTTAAAGAAGAAGTTACAGGTCTGTGAGAGCCACAGAAGTGACCAAATACTTATTTTCCACTGTTAAGACCCGTTTCAGCTAGGTGTGAGGAAGTAACAAAATAACCAAGATGGTAGAAAGGTAACTAAAATCATAATTTATTTAGGTGACAAAGTAGGTAAAACAAAATAGGATTCATATCTACATAACACACAGTAAATAAATAACCTATTAAAACAAGTAAGCAATTGACAAAACCAAAAGTGTAACCTAAACTAAAGTGTCTCAACATAAACTAAACAAGTCACTGAACTAAGGTACCGGCACAAGTGACAGAACACAGACAAAACTAATGCCGAACTGGAGTCCACTGACTCCAGCTGCCCCGAGCCGAGGAAGATTGGCAGTTTATAAGGGCGGGTCCTACAGGTGAGCGCACGCTGATTGGAGCGAGCGTGATCTTCTGAAAAAAGGGAGGAAACACAACCACACAGAGACACCACGGGAGAAACTAAAGTGATCCCCACAATAGGGAATTACGGGCCGTGGGCCGTAACATCCACCATCATTTACAAATAAATTCTTTAAAAATCCTACAATGTAAATTCCTGGATTTTTTTTTCACATTCTGTCTCTCACAGTTGAAGTGAACCTATGATGAACACTACAGACCTCTGTCATTATTTTAAGTGGGAGAACTTGCACAATCTGTGGCTGACTAAATACTTTTTTGCCCCACTGTAAGTAACAGGAGGTCACAGACTTGGAAATTGCTTTGGCTCAGTGCAACAGTCAGAAAGAGAGATAATAAAAATAAAGAATAAAACACTTCTAAAGAATAAATTTAAATGTAAAATAGAGTTACAGTTACTATTTACAATATACAAGTGCACATGGTGCACACAGTGTAAGGTGACAGCAGTACAGTGAAGTAAAGTGACGTATGATGGGCAGTAAAGTGACTTTATAAAGGGCGGGGGGACAGGTTAAGAAGTGTTCAAGAGTCCAACAGCAGAGGGGAAGAAACTGTTCTTGTGGCGGGAGGTTCTGGTCCTGATGGACCGCAGCCTCCTGCCTGAGGGGAGTGGTTGGAATAGTCCATGTGCAGGTGAGAGGGGAGTGGTTGGAATAGTCCATGTGCAGGTGAGAGGGGAGTGGTTGGAATAGTCCATGTGCAGGTGAGAGGGGAGTGGTTGGAATAGTCCATGTGCAGGTGAGAGGGGAGTGGTTGGAATAGTCCATGTGCAGGTGAGAGGGAGTGGTTGGAATAGTCCATGTGCAGGGTGAGAGGGGAGTGGTTGGAATAGTCCATGTGCAGGTGAGAGGGGAGTGGTTGGAATAGTCCATGTGCAGGTGAGAGGGTCGGCTGTGATACGACCAGCCCGGCCTCGAGCTCGGGCGACGTACAGGTCCTGCAGCGATGGAAGGCTGCGGCCGATCACTTCCTCTGCAGAGCGCACAATGCACTGTAGTCTCTGTTTGTCCCTGACTGTGGCTCCAGCGAACCACACGGTGATGGAGGAGGTGATGGAGGAGGTGATGGAGGAGGTGATGGAGGAGGTGATGGAGGAGTGATGGAGGAGTGATGATGGAGGTGACGGAGGAGGTGATGGAGGAGGTGATGGAGGAGGTGATGGGGGATGGAGGATGGAGGATGTGATGGAGGAGGTGATGGAGGAGGTGATGGAGGAGGTGATGGAGTGATGGAGGAGGTGATGGAGGAGGTGATGGGGAGGTGATGAGGAGGTGATGGAGGAGGTGATGGAGGAGGTGATGAGGAGGTGATGGAGGAGGTGATGAGGAGGAGATGGAGGAGGTGATGGAGGAGGTGATGAGAGGTGATGGAGGAGGTGATGGAGGAGGTGATGAGGAGGTGATGGAGGAGGTGATGGGGGAGGTGATGGGGAGGTGATGAGGAGGATGGGGTGATGGAGGAGGTGATGAGGTGTGGGAGGTGATGAGGAGGTGATGAGGAGGTGATGGAGGAGGTGAGGAGGAGGAGGTGATGGAGGAGTGTGATGGAGGTGGTGATGGAGGAGGTGATGGAGGAGATGGAGGAGGTGATGGAGGAGGTGATGGAGGAGGTGATGGAGGAGGTGATGGAGGAGGTGATGGAGGAGGTGATGAGGAGGTGATGGATGGAGGTGATGAGGAGGTGATGGAGGAGGTGAGTGGAGGAGGTGATGGAGGAGGTGATGGAGGAGGTGATGGAGGATGGTGATGGAGGAGGTGATGGAGGAGGTGATGGAGGAGGTGATGGAGGAGGAGATGGAGAGGTGGAGGAGGATGAGGAGGTGATGGAGGAGGTGATGGAGGAGGGAGGAGGTGGTGAGGAGGAGGTGATGAGAGGAGGTGATGGAGGAGGTGATGGAGTGTGAGGAGGTGATGTGGAGGAGGTGATGGAGGAGGTGAGGTGGGTTTGGATGGTGGTGGTGTGTTGGGTGGAGGTGATGGAGGTGGTGTGGTGTGGTGTTGGGTGGTGGGGTTGGTGATGAGTGGTGAGGAGGGTGGGGTGGTGGTGGTAGGTGGTGGTGGTGATGGGGTGGTGGTGTGAGGTGTGTGGAGTAGGTGATGTGGTGGTAGGGTGGTGGGTGTGGTTGTGGTGGGGTGGGTGGTGGTGGTGGTTGGGTGGGTGTGGTGAGGTGGTGTTGTGTGGTGGTGGTGGGGTGGTGGGGTTTGGTGGGTGGTGGTGGGGTGGTGGTTGGTGTGGGTGGGGGTGGGTTTGGTGGTTGTTTTGGGTTGGTGGGGTGGTGGTGGGTTGGGTGGGGTGGGTTGGTGTGGGTGGTGGTGTGGTGTGTGGTGTGTGGTGTGGTGTGGTGGTGGGGTGGGTGGGGTGGGTGGTTGGTGGTGGGGTGTGGTGGTGGGGGTGGTGTGGTTTTGGTTGGTGGGTGTGGGTGGTGGGGTGGGTGGGTGTTGTGGTGTGGGGTGGGGTGTGTGGGTGGTGTGTTGTGAGGGTGGGGTGGTGGTGGTGTGGGTGGTGTGGGGTGGTGGGTGGTGTTGGGTGGTGGGGTGGTGGTGGGGTGTGGTGGTGTGGTGGGTTGGGTGGTGGTGGGGTGGTGTGGTGGGTGGGTGTTGGTGGTGTTGTTGGTGGTGTGGTGGAGGGGTTGTGGTGGGTGGTGTGTGGTGGGTGGTGTGGGGTGGGTGGTGGGTGTGTGGTGGTGAGGGTGGTGGTGGGTGGTGGGGGTGGGTGGTGGGTTGGGTGGTGGTGGTGGTGGGGTTTTGTGGGTGGTGGTGGGGTGGGGGGGTGGTTGGGTGTTGTGGGTGGTGGTGGGGTGTGTGGGTGGTGGGGGTGGTGGTTGGTGTGTGGATGTGTGGGGTTGGTGGTGGTGTTGTTGGTGTTGTGGGGTGGGTGTTGGTGGTGGTGGTGGTGGTGGTGGTGGGTGTGGGTGGTGGTGTGTGTGGGGTGGTGGTTGGTTGTGGGTGGGGTGTGTGGGTGGGTTGTGGGGTGGGTGGTGGGTGGTGGGTGTGGTGGAGGAGGTGAGGGGTGGGTGGAGGGGTGGTGTGGTGGGGTGGTGGGGGTGGTGTGGTTGGGAGTAGGTGTGTGGGTGGGGTGGTGGTGGGGTGTTGTGGTGGGTGGAGGTGTGTGTGGTGGGTTGTGTATGGTGATGGTGGAGGGGGTGGTGGTGGGGAAGGTGGGGGAGGGGTGGTGGGTGGTGGAGGTGGTGTGGGGGGAGTTGTTGGTGTGGGTTGGTGGTGGAGGTGTGTTTGGGAGGTTGGGGTGGTGGGTGGGTTTGGAGGGTGGTGGGGTGGGTGGGTGGTGGGTGTGGTGGGTGTTGGTGGGTGGGGTGATGGTGGGTGGTGGTGAGGGTAGGGGAGGGATGGAGGAGTATGAGGAGGTGTAGGAGGGATGGGAGTGGTGGGAGGTGGGTGGTGGGGTGGGTGGTGGAGAGGTGATGGTGAGTGATGGTGGAGGGGTGAGGAGGATGGAGGATGGGGGATGAAAACAGATTTATGCACACAAAATTTCAAACATTTTGAAAAAACTAAATTTGAAAATGCCCATTTAAAACTTTGAAATAGTCTGTAGGGGGCGCTAATGTGTCAATTTGAATCACTTCACTTTCAAATGACCTAGACCCTAGAGTTGAACAATGTATTAAAGTTTTGTGCAAATCAGACTTTGTTTGTGCAAACGGGAGCAAATTTAATGTTGTCAAAAACGGCCAAAAAAAGGTCACATTTTGCCGCTCCGCTGCTCGAACAATGTTTCACTGATCAAAAATCCCTGAGGTCATTTTGAAGGTACATGTGTTGAGATGATGTGGAGCGATTTTGAGGCGAATCGGTGAAACGGCCGAGGAGGAGTCGCTTTCCAACCGACATGTATGAAAACTTTTGCAGTTCATTTTTCCATTTTGCAGTGAAATTTATGGGCTTCCTGTATGTCAGAGGGCGGAGCCATAATAATATTTTTTTCATGTCTTGACTCAAGGAACATGTGTACCAAATTTCATGTTTCTACGACAAACTTGACCTCCGAAAAGTCCCATAGGGGTATTATTTTGGCTGTTGTAGGTGGCGCTGTTCTGTCATTCTTTGAGTCCCATAAAAATAAACACCAAAATATCAAATTTTTCGCCAGGTCTGATTTTTGGGCCAAAATTAACAACTTTTCATGCATGTTCAGGGGGTCAAATTAAGGCTCAAAGTGCAGAAGAAAAAAGAAAGAAAGAAATAAATAAAAAAGGAATTTTTTTTTTAACGTCTCGAGCAAAAACAATATAGGTTTCAATGGCATGTGATACATCATTTTAAAGCTTTTGAGTTTACGCACGCAACCGTCACGTTTTGGTGAGTGACGGGCGCTGACGCATCCGTCACGCACCGCCACCATTTGTTTTCACCATTGTGAAAGCAATAGGCCCTTTCCCCGTTCGGGGCTCGGGCCTAATAAATAAAAAAGGAATTTTTTTTTCGACGTCTCGAGCAAAAACAATATAGGTTTCAATGGCACGTGATACATCATTTTAAAGCTTTTGAGTTAACGCACGCAACCGTCACGTTTTGGTGAGTGACGGGCGCTGACGCGTCCGTCACGCACCGCCACCATTTGTTTTCACCATTGTGAAAGCAATAGGCCCTTACCCCGTTCGGGGCTCGGGCCTAATTAAATGCAGATGTTAAACGTGAAGATCTCTTGTCTCGCTCTTGCATCGACTTTGGATACGTCAGTCAAAGGGAATTATTGACTTCAGGTCTCAGACAGGCTCATTGTACAGTCTGACAGCTGTAGTGGTCTCAAACAGACTCGTTGAACAGTCTGACAGCTGTAGTGGACTCAGACAGACTCGTTGTACAGTCTGACAGCTGTAGTGGACTCAGACAGACTCGTTGTACAGTCTGACAGCTGTAGTGGACTCAGACAGACTCGTTGAACAGTCTGACAGCTGCAGTGGACTCAGACAGACTCATTGTACAGTCTGACAGCTGCAGTGGACTCAGACAGACTCATTGTACAGTCTGACAGCTGTAGTGGACTCAGACAGACTCGTTGAACAGTCTGACAGCTGTAGTGGACTCAGACAGACTCGTTGAACAGTCTGACAGCTGTAGTGGACTCAGACAGACTCGTTGTACAGTCTGACAGCTGTAGTGGACTCAGACAGACTCGTTGTACAGTCTGACAGCTGTAGTGGACTCAGACAGACTCGTTGAACAGTCTGACAGCTGCAGTGGACTCAGACAGACTCATTGTACAGTCTGACAGCTGCAGTGGACTCAGACAGACTCATTGTACAGTCTGACAGCTGTAGTGGACTCAGACAGACTCATTGTACAGTCTGACAGCTGTAGTGGACTCAGACAGACTCATTGTACAGTCTGACAGCTGTAGTGGACTCAGACAGACTCATTGTACAGTCTGACAGCTGTAGTGGTCTCAAACAGACTCGTTGTACAGTCTGACAGCTGTAGTGGACTCAGACAGACTCATTGTACAGTCTGACAGCTGTAGTGGTCTCAGACAGGCTCATTGTACAGTCTGACAGCTGTAGTGGTCTCAAACAGACTCGTTGAACAGTCTGACAGCTGTAGTGGACTCAGACAGACTCGTTGAACAGTCTGACAGCTGTAGTGGACTCAGACAGACTTGTTGAACAGTCTGACAGCTGTAGTGGACTCAGACAGACTCGTTGAACAGTCTGACAGCTGCAGTGGACTCAGACAGACTCATTGTACAGTCTGACAGCTGTAGTGGACTCAGACAGACTCGTTGAACAGTCTGACAGCTGTAGTGGACTCAGACAGACTCATTGTACAGTCTGACAGCTGCAGTGGACTCAGACAGACTTATTGTACAGTCTGACAGCTGTAGTGGTCTCAGACAGACTCATTGTACAGTCTGACAGCTGTAGTGGACTCAGACAGACTCATTGTACAGTCTGACAGCTGTAGTGGTCTCAAACAGACTCGTTGTACAGTCTGACAGCTGTAGTGGACTCAGACAGACTCATTGTACAGTCTGACAGCTGTAGTGGACTCAGACAGACTCATTGTACAGTCTGACAGCTGTAGTGGTCTCAGACAGACTCGTTGTACAGTCTGACAGCTGTATTGGACTCACAGACTCATTGTACAGTCTGACAGCTGTAGTGGACTCAGACAGACTCGTTGAACAGTCTGACAGCTGTATTGGACTCACAGACTCATTGTACAGTCTGACAGCTGTAGTGGACTCAGACAGACTCATTGTACAGTCTGACAGCTGTAGTGGTCTCAGACAGGCTCGTTGTACAGTCTGACAGCTGTAGTGGTCTCAAACAGACTCGTTGAACAGTCTGACAGCTGTAGTGGACTCACAGACTCATTGTACAGTCTGACAGCTGCAGTGGACTCAGACAGACTTATTGTACAGTCTGACAGCTGTAGTGGACTCAGACAGACTCATTGTACAGTCTGACAGCTGTAGTGGACTCAGACAGACTCGTTGAACAGTCTGACAGCTGTAGTGGACTCAGACAGACTTATTGTACAGTCTGACAGCTGCAGTGGACTCAGACAGACTCATTGTACAGTCTGACAGCTGCAGTGGACTCAGACAGACTCGTTGAACAGTCTGACAGCTGTAGTGGACTCAGACAGACTCATTGTACAGTCTGACAGCTGTAGTGGACTCAGACAGACTCATTGTACAGTCTGACAGCTGCAGTGGACTCAGACAGACTCGTTGTACAGTCTGACAGCTGCAGTGGACTCAGACAGACTCATTGTACAGTCTGACAGCTGTAGTGGTCTCAGACAGACTCGTTGTACAGTCTGACAGCTGTAGTGGACTCAGACA